CTAGTAACCTAGCTCTCTCCAAATCATTGATGATACTGAAAAACAAAAGAGAACCTTGCCCATTGATAAACAGTGCCACTAGGTTCCAACTCAGAAGTCGAGCTCTAAAACTTATTTTTTTAATGATCTGTTTGTTCTATGCTAATCAAATAAAAGATCTGGGTAAAATATATATTTCTTTATTATGGAGGTTTTTTTAAGGTAAATGATACCATGAAGATCAAGAAAACTAAACTGTCCAATGAGGTTCACTTGCCACGTGTTGCAGTTAAACAGATACTTCACATTGAAATGTAGCCCAAATGTAAAACACCCAATTTTAAAACATGAATAATAACCCAACTCCTTAACAATTTCTTCATGGATTAGTAAAAAAGGTACTGTTTTTAATAAAAAGGTAATAGACTACATAAATGTATTTGAATATGGTTATCAGAAGATTTAATATATATTCAGCTCAATTATTATTGAACTAGTTTTTGGGGGGTTGAGTTTTGTTGTTGTTGGGTTTTTTGGTTTTGGAAGACAGGGTTTTTCTGTGTATCTCTGGATGTCCCAGAACTCTGTAGAACAGGCTGGCCTCGAACTCACAGAGATCCACATGCTTCTGGTTCCCTGAATTCTGGGATTAAAGGTGAGTGCCACCATCACCCAGCTTGAACAGTTTTATATAGAAAAGACACTAGTGTTTTATAGAACGTTTGTAAGCCAACTTTTCCCTTGTTTTACTTTGTGATCTTAAGAAAAAAATATATACATTTGAAAAAAGAAATAGGGATTAAAACAGACCTAAAATCCGCTGCTTAGTTCTGGTATCTAAATTCATTTTTTTTCCTTTAAAAAGGTTGAAGGTCATTTTGGTGAAATAACTAATACCATACTCGGGACAGTAAATGCGTGAGTGTGGATTATCTTGTTTAGAAGCACAAGTGTACACACACGCATGTGCACACGCATGCGAACACACACACACACACACACACACACACACACACACACTATAAGTTTAGTATGCCAAAATTTGATAATCAATATAATGGCAGTAATATATTTTTATCTTTGTATAAGAATTTATGAAATCATACAAAGTATAACTGAATGAGTATCAATCCTTAAAAAGAAGGAACAAGGCCAGAATACTGACAGACGTTAAACAACGGCGAGATTCTGATGAGATGATGGCAATACCCTGTTCTTGACAGAACGAAATTTCCTATAAGTTGCATATTAATTGCAAAATGGTGAATAATTTTCAAGAAGAAATACGGCAAACAAAACCAAATCTTATGGTTGAGACACACCGACACTATGAAATCCAAGATATGATGTACTGGGAAGAACAGAACATTTCTTCAGTAGCATTCCTGCCAAAGGCACAACAAACTAATCATGAGAAAACAACAGATTCCAACTAAGGGACATCCTACAGAATAATGCCATGTCGTCTTGTTGCTCTTTTATTCTTTTCTTAAGAAAACCTGAACAAGTATCCCCAATTAAAAGGAACTAGAGACATGATAACCAATAATGCATCCCATAATCTTAAGAGTGATCTTGAACTAGGAGACAGACAGGAGATGGATAGAAAAAACAGATACAATTTGAAAATGAACTATAAAGTAAGTAATAGTATATGTAGACAGTGTTCTTGTTTGGGGGAACACTGAAGAGCTTGGGGCTCCAAATTACTCTCAAACTGCTCTCTCTCCGTCTCTGTCTCTGTCTCTGTCTCTTTCTCTCTCTGAGTGTGTGTGTGTGTGTGTGTGTGTGTGTGTGTGTGAATTTAGGACAAGAATAACAAGAAATACAACAAAATGCAAACAACTGGTTAGCACAGGCAAGAGTAAATATTAGTTTCTTATCCTCTAATATTTTAAGATGTAAACTGTACCAAAATAAAATTTTTAGAAAATTGTCCTGTCCCAGATTAAATATTCTAATTACTTTGTAAGTCTGAATAATGTTTTAAACTGTGTTAATACATTTATTTTATACTATGCTTAACTGTTTTTAATTTTATGAATCATTAGATACTAGTATTATCCCATAAGGACTATGTCAGTGTCATTCTAGTTAGTAGATACTAATAACATACTCTATAAAATATGTGACAGTCTATTAATGCTAAGTATAATTGTGAATACTAGGATAACAGTACAATATCCAATATGCACGCAAGCATTTGTTACACGAGGATATTCAAAATTATACTCTAGTGTAGGGAAACTATAAAACATCCATTATAAACAGACCATCAATTGGGACAAAGCTTGCAGGACACTTCTCCAATCTAAAATAAAACTAGGAATGAATCAGAGGAGTAAATCTAGGGTAAATACGTAAGTTTTATAATTATAAAGGAAAGTAAACACTTTTCTAGATTGTATTCCCTTCTCAATTACTATCATCATTCACTGACAATTAATATAATTTTCTTCCCAAAATTTTCAAATATACACGTCAAAAGATGAATCATATTTGTTTAAGTAGTTAAGCAAAGAAGAGAGATTTCAAGAAACTTCATTAGAGATTCAATACTAATAAGTTGTACAACCTGAAGATACTTATGATTTCCAACTCTCACTGAAAACCAAGACTTTTGAATGATTGGTTTTCTCAAAACCAAGAGAATATTTTATAAAAAAGTATTTCAAGCAATAAGAGCACACACCACTCAATAAAGAAATGTACACATTTACACATCTACACCGTATCTATCTCACACTCATACATATAAAGAACAAAAAAAGATTTTTCTGCAAAGTACACATCAAAAAAATAAAATTTAACACCTATTCACACCATAATTAAACATGACACCAAAAATAAATAAATAAATAAATAAATAAATAAATAAATAAACCCGACTAACAGGTGCACATCCTATTTAGAAGGGTTTTTAGAATAGTTAAGTAACTATTTATTACTTAAAAATAACAGTGACAAAAACAATATATGAGATGGATCTCAGTAGGTCTCTCGACAAAGAACTGGGACTGTGTGAAACAATTCTCAAAGGATGGCTGTTGCTCAGGAAAACAATATTTTCATATACAGTACAATTATTTTACATATAATACAATAATTGTGTATATCATTGAAAGGGTGGTAATACAGATTACATATTAGATATTCAAAAAAACTAACTTCACCTCCTGTTAACTTAATTTGTCTCAATTAAAACTTGACTTTCAAAAGTACACGCATTGTTGTGATTCAAAACCATACTTAAATGTAATCAAAGACACAAGCTGAGAAAAACATCCTCACATTCTGTAAAACAAAACTCGGCCATGGTCACCTTTAAATCACTGTGTGCCTTATCAAAACTTAAGACAGTAATGCAGTGAGCTAGGAGTGCAATGCTGTCAGTGTTATTTGTTGGACTCCACGGGAATGAAGTCGACAATTTCTAGGCGGGTTTTCAACGGAACAGATACTCGCATGAGAAACTGTCAAAACGGGTCCACTTTGCATTCATAAAGAACAAAGTATCAACACATTCAGTATGAGGTGTTCGTCTTTGCTTTGTTTTTGCAAATACCCCCCACCCCCCGCGCCATAACTTTGTCACAGATCACACCAAAATTCTATAGAGGTGATACAAAACAGTAAACTGCTTAAACACCACCGAAATGTTCCTAAATCAGTCTCTCCCCTTCTGTTTTCCTATATATATTCTACACTGTACGGCACTGAAATTGCCTCTGGCTTAATCTATTATGATCTTTTTCACTAGTGAAAACAAGACAGACCTGAAGGCTCGAGCCAAGGGGTGGGGTAGGGGGACAGGGCGCGAGGTGGCGCAAGAACAGATGAAAACAAGGTAGGAGAGTTGTCTTCACAAGGAACTGAACCTACTCAACTCCCAATACTGACACTCATCAGAAAAGACACCGACGCTACTCCTAACACCGAGCAGGCTCCATTCCCACCTCGTCCCCTCAAAGGCTACCCTGTGACCCCTGCCAAGGCTCACGCCCTGCAGCCCCCTCGACCCGGGTTAGCCCCTCTACTGCACTGAACCAACCTGCTGGGTAACAGCTGAGGGGACACGTCTCACTCAGGGTGGGGAAAAGCGGGGACCGCAACGAGGTAGGGAGTCCCAGGACTTCCCGCTACCCAGAGCGGCACACTGAATGACAGACAGCCCGGAGCGCGGAAGTTTGAAGCAAAACCAGTTAGACCCCACCGAATAGGAAAACTGAATGGCATAAGCACGGGAATGGGAGGTGGGGAGGGCGATGCGCGTCCATCACATGACAGCGAAAGAGGACCAGAGTCGTCGGGGCGTCCTCAAGGAAAAGGGGAGGGGGGGCGCGGCACGGGGAGGGTGCCGTCGTCATAGCAACACCCCCCATCCGTCCAGACTTCCAAAGAGGGAGGAAGAACTTCAAATCCCAACCGTCAGCGCTCGAGCGGCTCCTTCTTAAAGGGGTACACACAGATCCGAGGCCGCGCGCGGAGGGCAGAGGCGGCCGCCCCCCCCCGCCCCTCGGGCGCCGCCCCC